TTGTAAGTCGAGCAGGTCGTAAGTCGGATGGTAGGTGTATCTACCTGGATGATGACTAACAAACTTACTCTCAACATTGACAAAACCTACTTCATTCAGTTTGGAAACAGAGCTACAGATGTCCCTCTTAACATAATGATAAAAGGATCACCTATCACAAAGTTCACAGAGGGAAAATTCTTAGGAATCCACATTGATAATACTCAAATTTCAAACACACGTACAACAAATTTCCATGAAAATTTCCAAGACCGTAGGCATACTGCCGAAGATACGGTACTATGTTCCACAGTCAGCCCTCCTGGCCCTATATTACTCACTTATTTACCCCTATCTCACCTATGGAATTTGTGCATGGGGGCTCAACAACAATAAACCATCTCAGACCATTAATTACCCAACAAAAGGCTGCAGTCAGAATAATAAATTCCCACTACAGGCAGCACACTCCACCAATATTCAAAACTCTAAACCTACTCACAATACAAAACATCCATACTTATTATTGCACCTATTACATACATAGAACACTTAACTCTGATATTAACCCTCCCCTCAAACATCTCCTTACCAACCTCAACAGAACACATGACCATAACACAAGGCACAGATCGCTCTTTGATGTTCCTCGTGTCCATCTCACACTATGCAAAAACTCAACGCACATAAAAGGCCCAAAAATCTGGAATTCATTACCTGTGAATATAAAAGAAACACTGTGTTTATAAATTCAAGTCTCTTCTTAAAAATCACTTACTCACCCACAACTAAATAAATACTGAATAATTTTATCTCATAAATGTTTAACCTGTGACACTATCAAATTTTTTTTTTTAATTACATTACCTAACAGAATACTTCATTCTATTGAATGCACAGCAACTCAGCAGATGACCATATGACCTGTCTTTGAAATACTCATTAGTGCTTAACCCTTTGACTGTCGCAGCCGTATATATACGTCTTACGAGGTACCGTGTTTGACGTATATATACTCATAAATTCTGGCGGCTTCAAATCAAGCAGGAGAAAGCTGGTAGGCCCACATGTGAGAGAATGGGTCTGTGTGGTCAGTGTGCACCATGTAAAAAAAATCCTGGAGCACGCAGTGCATAATGAGAAAAAAAAAAACTCCGACCGTTTTTTTTAATTAAAATGCCGACTTTGTGGTCTATTTTCGTATAGTATTTATGGTTGTATTCTCGTTTTCTTGGTCTCATTTGATAGAATGGAAAAGATATTATAGAAATAGAGGTGATTTTGATTGATTTTTCTATAAAAAGAACCTAGAAATGGAGCTCAAAGTAGGGGAAATGTTTGATTTTTGCCAATGTTCAAAAGTAAACAAATAATGCCATTGTCCAATAAATGTCCAACTAGCCATTCTAATATGCAGTCATGAATGGGTTGATGTTATTTATACAATTATTACAGTATTGCAGTAGTCTGCATAATAGTAAGTCTTCTATTTTTTGTTTGAATAAAAATTCAAAATAGAAAGCAAGAGTAATATCAGAGGGGCCTGGAGACGTGACTGATGAACAAAGAAAATGTTATTTTAGAGCCAGGAATGTCTGCATTGTTCATTCTGGACCTTATTTTGAAATTGTCATATTTATTAATTTCCGTGAAATTGGACAAATTGCAAATTTCTGACCACATTATTAGGTAGTTGAAATTGGTAAATGGGCAGTTTCTTGTACTCAATCGATAGAAAAAATGGAGTTCTATAGAAATAGCTATGAATTTGGGCGACTGGAACAATGGAATTAGCCGAAAATAGGGCTCAAAGTGGGCGAAATCGCCGATTTGTAAACAGCGCCGAGGTCGCTAACTTCGCGAGAGCATAATTACATCAGTTTTCCATCAAATTTCGTTTTTTTGGTGTCATTACAATCGGGAAAAGATTCTCTATCATTTCATAAGAAAAAATAATTTTTTTTTTTTAAATTTTGTGACACCAGGAGACACCTCAGGATTGGGGGTTGCGACAGTCAAAGGGTTAATTGTTATTTGTTTACTATAATTTTTACCACTGAATATATCATTGCTGCGAAGTGCAAAAGTAGTGACGGTGTCAGCAGAGAAGTGCTGCTCACCAGCGAAGCAGTGCTTATTCTCCACTTATTGTGCATAATTAATCAATTAAAATTTATCATAGGTATGTATGTCAACCAAAAATGACATATAGGGTATCCACAGTAGATCTTGGAACGTATTCCCAGCGGATACGAGGGGGAGGACTACTGTATTACTACCTACGATTATATTATATAATACTTTGTGCCTCACTCTATACCTATACAGGAGTCCCCCCCATATCCACAGGATACGTTCTAAGACCTATCATAAAACCTGAAATTGTGGATAGTAGCGAATCCTATATATATGTCGTTTTTCATTTACATACCTATGATAAAGTTTAATTGATAAATTACACACAATAAGTGAAGAATTATCACATTTTCAGTGATGGGAAGCACTTCCCGGCTACTCTTAGACTTTGAAGAATTACCACCACCACTATTTTTGTGCTGTGGTGCCATTGTTAAGCAAAATTAAGGTTTATTTTTGGGCCACGGTAAACCATGGATAACAAACTGCAGCTTAGCACAAGACAAAACTCTTTTCGACATCCCTCGTGTCCGCCTCGCCCTATGCAAATATACAATGTGCATTAAGGGCCCAAGATCTTGAACTCACTGCTCAAACCAGCAAAAGGTCCCCTGTCTGTTAATCAATTTAGAGCTGTAATTAAAAATCACCACATTTCCCAAATTTAACTGTACCAACACTTTCTTATAACATAAAAAACCAACTCATTAAACTACTTCCATTTCTTAACCATCTCTTATAAACTTTCTACAGCTTTAAATCATAAAACGAGTTTGAAACTACTCAATTATTATAATTATGGGGAAGCACTAAACCCATAGGATTATACAGTGCATGTGGGGGGAGGTGGAAGGTATTCAGGTTCAATTCAGGGAACTGGAGCACAGATCTAATTCCCAAGATCAAGAGCCCGTCACCAGCATCAAGGAACCTCCCTTGAGGGATGAAACTACTCAAGAAATCCCAATTAATAATCATTATATCAGTTTGACTTAGCCACCTCTACTATAAATCTTTCTAATTACAATATTTTTGCTAATTATTTTTTGTAATAAATGATTAAAATTTACCACTCCATAACCTATGTCTGGTTGTAAGTAGTGTGCAAACATTAAGATTAACCTGCCCGAAATACTTATGCACGCTAGTGGCTTTGTGCGTAACAATACTTGGTATGTAAACTACAGTGTATATGCTTCACAAAGATACAAAAATTTTGATCTTGGTGTTGATATGATACTTGCTGATGCCATTTTCCTTCTGCCCCATCTACCTCTTACTCTAAATGAAGCTACAACTAAATAATGATCTAGTATACCTGATGCCCCTTTATAAACATGCTCATACTTAAGTCTACCCATCAACCTTTTATCCACCAATACATAATCCAACAAACTACAGTGGACCCCCCGCCTTATGATCAGCTCCCAACTCGAACAATTATGTAAGTGTATTTTTGTAAGTGCTTTTGTACATGTATTTTTGGGGGTCTGAAACTGACTAATCTAATTTACAATATTCCTTATGGGAACAAATTCGTTCGGTAATGGCACCCGAACAGACTTCTGGAATGAATTAATATCGTAAGTCGGGGGTCCACTGTATTTCCATTACGTCCAGACGATAAAGTTTAATAATGACCAAACAATAAACTAGTATTATTAAAAAAATACAAATTATCATACATGGTAACATATCTTAATACTTGGGAATTCTTCGCTTGCCTAACCTTTGGGCACGACCTACTTCCACATTGGACAAATGTGACACCACCTACGACTGCTGCACCTCTCCTGCTTACGGTTTATAAGCTGCTTCTCCGCTCATATGCCGTATTCTATTCAAGATTGATGGAATGACCACATCGACTCAAGGTTGAGGGACTGATTACCTCATTCTCTTCCTGTTCTTCATGCTTCTCCTGTGCATGGACTGATGAAACCACTGTGTGGCGAAACTTTTCCTTAATAAAGATACCCAAGAGTTGCACGTGTCTAATTTATCAACGTGTCGGTTCTGTGAACCAATCATCTACAACATATGTGTAAATTACCCACTAGAATAATCCAAAAAAAAGTCGGAGCGACTTATTTTCATTGGGGTTTCTGGAGTTTATCTGGAGAGAGTTCCGGGGGTCAACGCCCCCGCGGCCCGGTCTGTGACCAGGCCTCCTTAGGTCAGTGTCCCAGGATGCGACCCACACCAGTCGACTAACACCCAGGTACCCATTTTACTGATGGGGAACATAGACAACAGGTGGAAAGAAACACGTCCAATGGTTCTACTCTGGCTGGGAATCGAACCCAGGCCTTCGCCGTGTGAAGCGAGAGCGTTAACCACCAGGCCACCAGAGCCCCCTTATTACTTTTTCACCGACATTATTATCGTGGTGATAACATACACACGTTACTATATATGATAATTTAAGTGTATTTATGTGTACCTGAATACACTTAATAACTTTAAACATTAGCTTTCCAATAATTATTTCCAATTATGTATTATAAATCATTATTTTTTTAATAAAAAATAATCAGAAGTATGAATAACGAAGTTATCTTCACCTTGGTGAAGTAAACGAGTAATAATAATGTGAAATGAGAGGAAAAGTTCAATAAATAATGAGCAGAGCAAAAAAAAAAAAATACTGGTATTAATTACGAAGATATTTTCACCTTATTAAAGTAGACGAGATTAAAGATAATATGAGAAGAGTATCAGAAGTGGACTCAAGAGTGAGTGAAGACACTGTGAGACTCACCAAGACAGCTTCCAGGATAATATTCAGGTGAATAAATGTATGGTGAGTCAACTTCCCGGAATAAAGTGAATAAACTGTGTCCTCGCCCACCCGTGCATATGTACCTTATTTACCCTCCCCTCACCTTATTTCACCCCCGGGAAGGTTAATTATGCTCACCCGAGGAGGTCACCTGCACACACCAGCTTGCTAGAATATTTATTGTGCCAGGGAAGGCATGGTAGGCACTAAATATGAGGTAAAATACAGCGAGGCGACCTCAACACTACAGCTAAAAATGGACAATAAACAACTGTTGTGACGTCACTGATGTAATATCTACATTAATACAATGATACAATACGCGATTTAGTTCATAAAATACAGTGTATTCTGAACAATAAAATTCAAAATAATATTTTTAGGATAATTTATAAATAATTCATTTAATAATTACATTAATGTAGGAGCATTTGTGAAGTTATTAACATAATATCGATATCTAATATACTCTACAATACGTGATTTATTTTGCAAAATACAGTGTATTATGAACAATAAAATTCAAAATACAATTTCTAGAATAATTTATAAATAATTAATATATTATTTACAATAATATAGATGTAATTTTTTTTACAAAATAGTTTAACGTAAACAATAAAATTCAAAATACCATTTATAGAATTATTTATAAATAATAAATTTATTATTTACATTAATGTGGGAGCATTTGTTCAGTTATTGACCAAATTTCTAATTATTATAATTAATAATCATGGGGAGCGCTAAACCCACAGGATTATACAGCGCCTCTGGTGGGGGGATGGAAGGTATTCAGGGTTAATTCAGGGAACTGGAGCACAGATTTAATTCCCTGGATCAAGAGCCTCTCACCAGCATCAAGGAACCTTGCTTGAGGGGAATATCTACATTAATGCAGATATAATACATGATTTATTTCATAAAAAATACGAAATATTGGAAAGACTAAAATTCAAAACACCATTCCAGGCACAATACCAGTCACGGTATTGTGCCTTTTTTGTTATTTACAAATAACATTATTAAAATATTGATTCGTGACGTCACTACCAAAATATCTACAATTTATTTAGAAATTTTAGTATACATACAGAGGTACAAAAAAAAAAATACAGGTAAGAGCAGCATACCAAAGCCACTTATATGCATAGCATTACGGGCTGGCTTAAAATTAACTTAAGATTAACTAAGCAATGATGAAATCAGTGATAAAACATTATTGTAAACAGATAACTATAAAGCACAAGTGAGTATTACAAAGACAGGTCATATGGTTGCTTGCATTGCTGTACATTCAGTAGAATGGAGTATTCTGTTAGGTAGTGTATTTAAAAAAATAAAGTTAGATTGGGTCCTAGGTTTAACATTTATGTGATATAATTGTGAGTAACATTTTGGATATACAATTTATATGGTTCAGTTATTCAGTATTTATTTGGTTTTGGGTGAGTAAGTGATCTTTGAGAAGAGACTTGAATTTATAAACAGGTAGTGTTTCTTTATATTTACAGGTAATGAATTCAGATTTTAGGGCCTTTTATGTGCATTGAGTTTTTGCATAGCGTGAGATGGACACGAGGAATATCAAAGAGTGATCTGTGCCTTGTGTTATGGTCATGTGTTCTGTTGAGGTTGGGAAGGGAGATGTTTGAGGGGAGGGTTAATATCAGAGTTAAGTGTTCTATGTATGTAATAGGTGCAATAATAAGTATGGATGTTTTTTGTATGGTGAGTAGGTTTAGTGTATTGAATATTGGTGGAGTGTGTTGCCTGTAGTGAGAATTTGTTATCATTCTAACTGCAGCCTTTGTTGGGTAATTAGTGGTCTGAGATGGTTAATTGTTGTTGAGCCCCATGCACAAATTCCATAGGTGAGATAGGGGTAAATAAGAGAGTGATATAGGGCCAGGAGGGCTGACTGTGGAACATAGTACCGTATCTTCGATAGTATGCCTACAGTCTTGGAAATTTTCTTAGAAATTTGTTGTATATGTGTATGAAATTTGAGTCTATTATCAAGGTGGATTCCTAAGAATTTTCCCTCTGTGAGTTTTGTGATAGGTGATCCATTTATCATTATGTTAAGAGGTACATCTGTAGCTCTGTTACCAAACTGAATGAAGTAGGTTTTGTCAATGTTTAGTGTAAGTTTGTTAGTCCTCATCCAGGTAGTTTATTTCTGTAATTCGGTATTTACAGTATTGGCTAGCATGACTGGACTCGGGTGAGAGAAGACGTATGTAGTGTCATCTGCAAAAAGTGTGGGTTTGAGTAATTGCGAAGCATTTGGTAGGTCATTTATGTATAGGAGAAAGAGAAGAGGGCCAAGGACACTTCCCTGTGGGACACCAACTGTAATTGGTTGTGCGGAAGAGCTTGCCCCATTTGCGTACACATATTGGCTTCTGTTGCTGAGGTATGACTTGAGGTAGTTGAGGGAGTGCCCTCTATACCATAGTGTGACAATTTTACGTGGAGCAAGTATGGTCAACTGTATCAAAAGCTTTACGTAAGTCAATGAAGATCCCCAGTGGGACTTCTTTTTTTCTCTATTGCAGTGTATATATGTTCTAGCATGTGTATAATAGCATCATTAGTATTTTTATTAGGCCTGAATCCAAATTGGCAGGGGTTGAGAATGTTTTGGGAGATGAGGTAGGAGTAGATTCGTTTATGAATTAATTTTTTCGAAGATTTTTGAGAGAGGGTGTAAATTGGATATTGGCCTATAGTTATTCAACTCTGTTTGGTCTCCTCCTTTATGGATCGGGGTGACCCTTGCTATTTTGAGAACTGTAGGGAAGGTGGAGGATTCAATGGATTTGTTAAAGAGTGTTGCAATGATTGGTGATAGTACTTGTGACGCTTTTTTGTATGTAAAGGGTGGTAAGGTATTTAAATCTCCTGCCTTGTTTTTCAGTGCGTTGATAATAAGGGAGACTTCATATGGGTTAGTCGGAGCTAGGAACAGTGTGTTCGGGTAGTTGCCAGTGAGGTAGTCATTTGGTGGGGTATCTGAGCTTGGGATTTTATTGGCAAGGTTTTGACCTGTAGTGGATTATTATTATTATAATCAAGGGGGAAGCGCTAAACCCGGAGGATTATACAGCGCCTGGGGGGGGGATGTGGAAGGCATTCAGGCTTAATTCGGGGAACTGGAGCACAGATCCAATTCCCTAAATCAAGAGCCCCTCACCAACATCAAGGAACCTTCCTTGAGGGGTCCTGTAGTGGAGAAGAAATCATTGAGTCTGTTTGCTGTTTCTGTTGGTGGGAATTGGGGTTCATCTGATTTTGCTAATTTTACTTCGCTATGTCGTGATATCTTTTTTGTTCCCAGAATTTCTGATAGGGTCTTCCAGGTCTTTTTTATATCACCTCGTAAGTTGGATAATCTGTTCTCATAATACAATTTTTTTGCCCTTCTTATCAGGCTGGTTAGGATTGACGAGTAATGTTTTGTTTGGTCTCTGGTTATGTGACCCATTCTGTACTGTTTTTCATATCGGTGTTTTGTATTTATGGATTTGAGAATGCTGGGTGTTAGCCAGGGACTGTTCAGTCTTAGCTGTCATCTGTTTAGTTTTCTTAGGGCAGTGCTTGTTATAGAGGTATTGGGTCTTTTTTAGAAAATTATTAAAACATTCGTCAATATCTGTATAGATTTCTAGCTCAGTGTGCCAGTCAATGTTTGTTACTGCTGTTGTGAAGTTATTAATGGCTGCCTCATTGTGAAGTCTGAAGGTGACTTTAGTAGTGTCTTGGGGTATTTTACCAAGAGTTGTTATGAGGAAAGTAGGGTAGTGGTCTGTGGTATTATCTGTAATTATGCCTGATTTTAAAGGGGATATGGTGTTGGTCCAGATGTGGTCAAGTAGGGAAACACTAGTCTCTGTAACTCTTGTAGGTTTTGTTACTGTTGGTAGCAACATGCAGTTACTCATAGTGTTTGTGAATTCAGTAACGTGTGGGTCCTGGTCTTGCAGGAGATTTATATTGAAGTCACCTGAGAGTAGTAAGTGATCTTTGTTCATGCGTGCATCAGTTATCATACTTCCTAGGTTTTGACTAAATTGGCTAATGTTTGATTGTGGAACTCTGTAGATGTTTATCACTGTGAGAGGTTTTTGTAGGTATTTGGGTTTGAGTTTAGCTATTATATATTCCCCATGTTCATCCCTTGTGCAAGTATTAGTGATACATTCTAGTTGGTCTGAGTAGTATACAGCTGTGCCACCCCCTTGTTGGTCTGGCTTACAGTTGTGTATGGCTGTGTAACCAGGAAAAGGGATAGACATCTGTAGTATCAGGCTTTAGCCAGGTTTCAGTTAGTGTAATGATGGACATATTGGCATGCAAGGAATTTAGTAATGCTAGGTCATCATAATGCTTGCTTAAAGATCTGATATTGTAGTTAAAGATAGTTATGTTGTTATTGGCACTGAGAAGTGCCTTTGATTGTTCTGCTGTGTAGTAATTACAGTAACTGTTTGAATCATTTAAGTCATTAAATAAGAGGTTGGTATCAGGATCAATGCTTGTAATCATAAGATTTGTAGTGAATCTATAGTTAGAATTAAGTAAAAAATAAAGTAAATATTCTAAAGCTAAACAAAATAGCACCTGAATTATTTAACAAATGTAAAAATAATGATTATTATTATTATTATAATCAAGGGGAAGCGCTAAACCCGTAGAGTAAAAATAATGAGCTAAGGTAGTTTTTTAAAGCTAAAATAAAGGAGACAATATAAAAGGGACTAAAATAATTTGTGGTGAACAAATAAAGTGATGATCAAATAATGGAGCTTGACAATATGATAGTAGGTAGTACTTCGAAGGTAATTCTTTAAAGTTAGAATTATAATATAAAATTATAATATAAAGCAATAAATGATTTATTTTCCTGGGTGTAACGGTTAGTGGAGAATAAAAATTAATAATAACTTTCCTGAAATGCTCCAGGAAAGCATATTCTAGTTATGTCATTAACGGAAACTGTTAATGATATCACTATATGATACCGGTCAGCGGAAGACAGGACTCGATACGGCGCATCCGACCCCAGGCCCTATATACTCCACCAGACACACAACATGATGATAATATACGGCTCTATCTCTAGTAATCCGACCAGGCCTATATACTCACAGGATCACAGTACATGTGATAAATAACGGGCATCCGACACCAGGCCCTATATTACGTCCAACCAGACAACAACATGTATGTACAGTATACTGTACAGTACAA